GTTTGTTGCACATGATTGATTCTGCATGCATATATAACATTTACAAAAGTTATTATCTTATTAAACCATTCTGTTGAATGTCAGTTACTTAAAAATTTTTAATATAGAAGAATTTGTATCTTTCATTTATTCACATGAGTATATTGATGTCCTATTGTTTGGTATCTCTGTGACCTTCTTTCCTATTGTTTTTGTTTGGATGGTATTCCTGATTGCAAATAGTAGTTTGCATGTCTTAGCTGAGTGCAGCAGTAATCAGTTTTGTATTTGTTGATTGAATCATAGGCAGTTTTTCATGGATTTGTGAGTGAATGTACATAGTGAAGATGTTATTATTTCCATTGATAGTGACATAACTACAATGTATTATGCACATGAAATAAGAAGTGAACAAACTTCTTCAAGCTTGTGCTTCAAAGATGTGGTCTCATTATTTAATTGCCTCTCAGTTCCTCAATGCTATCTCTTAAATTTCTTTTTCAATTGCTGTCCCTTCAATTAAATCTTAGAAAAAATTTCAGAATCTTTGTCTGCAATTATTTTGTCATCGCAAGAATTGCTGGTATTTGTAATTACAGTAGCATTAAATTATCATCAGTGAGTTAATATTTGTGCATTTGGTGGTGGTCCATTCTAGCTTTCTAATGCTGATAGGATTCCAGTGGCTATGAAGTTGCACACATTCTAGCTATGATTGGATTCCTCTGACTGTTACTTTGCATGCATTTAAGCGTCGATAGGATTCTTGTTACGGTAATGATGCAAGTGCTGCTTTTTTCCAATGAAACAGCTGTGGCAGCTTGCAGAGACTCATCAGTGATGATGATGGTCTGAAAGTGTATGTATGCTGGCCTTTCCAGATTTTAAGGTCCTGCTTTCTGATTTGCTGCTTACCAGTTAATATATTACCCCTCTGGAATTCCACACTGCTGGCTTGCATTTTTGCTAACACTTATCTCAAGACCTTAGAACTTTGATTTTAGAATGTTGACAAGATCACAATAAAAAATATTCACCATACACATTCAAAAATATTCACAATAATTGCTATCAGGAAATCGGTTGAATGGTTGAAACTTGGAGAACACATTGGAGGGACTGTACACTTGGAGGGACTGTAGCATTCTAAGTTGGATCAGTTCTGAAATTTTCCTACTTTTTACTGAAATCTTGTGGCTCCAAAGTAACAAATTTTCAATACATTTGTAATCTCCTTGCCTGATAGTAAAATTTTGTTAATAATTAGATAGGAGGAAATTCACCTATCTGGAATCTTGTGGTATCAAGAAATGGCAGGAAAGCTCTGGTTTTGGCTTGAATGATGGATATATTCCATGCCTTTGTTAGATCACTAATCATCACTTCAGCATTTAAGAATTGACTAAGAGAATATGTTTCTTGACCTATGGTACCTGAGGGCTGAGTGCTGACCAGTTTGATACATCAGGCAGACGTTTCCTAAAATCTCAGGTGAAAATGATTGCTTCACAAGTAATTTCTTAAAATTGCAAGGAGCAATAGGCTGTATTTGTTATTCTTTACTGAATAAATAGGGAAAAGGCAATGGGAATGGGTGATACTGGATAGATTCATGGATGTTTTTGCGTGTCCAGAACTGTTGTTTTACAGATGTTGTTCTATCTACATGCAGCTATGAAAATAGTTAAAAACTTCAAGACCCTTTATCAAGCTGTGGTTAACAAGTTTGCAAACACATTTATGTGGCTTGACAAAGGGCAAACACATTTGTGTGGCTTAACAAAGGGTAAACACATTTGTGTGGCTTGACAAAGAACAAGCACATTTGTTTGGCTTGACAAAAGACAAACTCATTTGTGTGGCTTGACAAAGGACAAACACATTTGTGTGGCTTGACAAAGGACAAACACATTTGTGTGGCTTGACAAATGGCAAACACATTTGTTTGGCTTGACAAATGGCAAACACATTTTTTAAGCCAACCATTATAGTCAAATCTCTTGATTTCCTCATTAAAATGGCCTATAAAATATTTTCATTCAATCAATATCAGAGGACAGTAGGGCATATAACAATAGCATATGATAATGTATACCTATATCTATATTTTTTAACAAGAATCATAAATTTTAGTTCCATTGCTGTCTGAAATCTTGACATAAATGCAACTTGTATGTCCAACATTTAAGAGAAATTTTTTGGTTTCGTATAGAATATTTGGAGGAATTGTGATACTAATTTGCAAAAGTCAAAATTTTTGCCTTATGATGTTTTTATTTGGAAGCTGTCATATTTCTTACTTATTGTTATGATTATGGAGAAGAGTTAATTCAGTAAAAAGAAGAATTTCCTAATCTAGGAATATTTGGAGGTAATTCAGGGCCCAGGGGCAAGATCTGTTTATGTAACATTTGATGACGGTTTGTTGCCAAGGATTGTCACTAATTATCTCACTTTCTGTGGAAATAACTGAATTTATTATCCCTCATATAGTAATACATACTTCATACGTTTGCATGATCTGACTGTAAACTTCAATTTTTCAAGTCATAATAATTGTGTTTTTACAACACTTGCCTCTAACTTCACTTCTTGTTGTTTGTTTGTCTGTCTGCTACAAATCTTATACTAATCAAAATTTATCACACTTTCACTTATCCTATCGATCTGAAATTTTGCACACTTGTGTAAGGTTGGAGACGATGCAAGAATCAAATGACAAATGAATGATTTTAAAAATTAATTTTTTTTTTCAATATTAAAAACATTTAAAAAATAATTTTGTCTGATACAAATCTTGTAACTGATATTTGACACACTTTTACCTGTCCAATTGATCTGAAATTTTCGCACTTATTTGAAGTCAGAGGCAATGCATGAATCAATTGACAGAATAAATAATTTTGAAAAAAAATTCTATATATTAAAAAATGTTAGAAATTAATTTTTTTAATATTTGAAAATAAAATGAGAAATTCATTGTACATCTTTAACATTGGAGACACTGGATTATTTAGGAGTGTTGTCTTTAAAAAGTAATTTTTAAACATATATTATTATAATTCCCTTTTATCTTTTTCAATAGAAAAAGAAACTTTAATTTCAAGTGCACATGATTTGTGCCCAAAACATGTGGTACATAATTTAAGTACAAATCAATTTAAGTGCACATGATTTGAGTTATAAATAAGTCTATACACCCTGAGATGGCTACTAAAACAGATGTGGCTTTTATAATATACTAGCTCATGACCTGGCAATGTTTAATGTCTTTCATTAATGAGTCAATCCACATATAAACCAATTGAATTCACAAATCTTGTTCAATATCATATGGTTCTTATCTATGCTTCCAAAGCAGCGTGGTTCTTATCTGTACTGTATCAATCCACATAACATGTGCATGACTATGACCCAACTCCTAATGAGTGAGTGATAAGAATTTGTTCTTTGATACTGTGCAATACAGAGATATTTAAGGCAAAATTAATAGAGACAAATTTACTCACTTCAATACCATTTGACTGTACTTTATGACACCTTATAATGGCGAAAAATGATTTAGTCGCTTGTTCCTATAAAGATAAATTATTTAACAGTATCTGTTGAACAAAAACCAAGCCTAATGTGTTAAAAAATGGATCAACATGAATTTTTAATTATTCTCCTCAAGTTGATGATAAAACTATAATTACGGTACTATCACTGCTTACGGTACATAGATACATTATCAATATTTTATTGCAGTAATGAGTGATTCACACACAGAACATGGAAATGCTTGAGGTTTGAAGCACTCTGTAATGACTCGTATGAATCATTTACCAAGAACATACCTAATCATCAATTAATCGCGTTTCACTACCGTACAATATCAACGGATGATTGACTAATGTTTATTATAAGCATCACTAGATCAATTTGGAAGAAGTGAGAGGGTGAAGTAACCTAATTCGTAGCAATAATCATTACCTATTGCACGACGGAAGGCAAAACTTATATTGATGTTGTAATCCCTGTTACATTAGGAAACCAGCGTGTTATAAATATATAAATATAGAAGCTCCTTCCGTTATTCTTCTGACAACGCTACTGGCGTAATTCGATATGTGCACTCACCACTTTTAATGTTCAACTGCTATCAACTATTCGATTTAATAATCTTTGAAATTAATTTCTTGAATTATGCTGTGAGACCATTAAATGACTTGACCGCTATTTGTGTGCATGTATACAACTTGAATTAAGAAACTGAACATAGATAGCCTGCTATGCTTAAAGTGTCCATGTTTTCGTCTTACCGATAATTTTTCTCTGTGTTGATGTTACACGATGCTTGCCGAAGCATAATCCAAACAAGTGACGTCATTTTGTTCAACTAAGCAAAGAACTTGCAATCTCAGGCTCTGCTTCTCATAGCAACCCTTCAGTTCGTCGAGCGCATCGATTGAACGAGGTTGTAACGCGATCACTTCACGCCACATGCCACGCGATCGTTCGATGTCACACAGCGACACTGCAAGACATGACAGCTGGTTGCCACACTCTCACTGTGTGGCAAACGAGAGGTTTTCTTTTTAATTTCAGCTCATCAATATAGTTTAAATATGTATATTCAATATCTATCTATGTGATAATACCCGGTATACATGATACTTTACTGGTCTACTCAAGGGACTGACTTGAAAAGGAATGACTAAAAAAATCATAAAAATGGAATGAATATCTGCTTTTCCAGTGGCACACGCTCGTCTTCTGGAGACTCGGTGGTTTGAGTGTGTTTTCCTTATTAGCTTAGTTACATTTTTTCAAGTTTTCCGTGCATCGTTGGTGATTATCAATTGAACTTATTAAGTAGCAAAATTGTATGACCGTTGTGAGTGAATAAGTGTTCTGAGAGTGCTTGCTTGCAGTTCATTTTACTTATGTTCGATGTATTTGTGCTGTCTAGTCAAGAGTGTCTGATTACGTAATAACTTTGATTTTATGTGCTTTAGTAAATGAAGTCTTTTATTGTGCAGAATTTTTGTAAATTGTTCAAAATTCTTAGTATATTTGGAAACAATATGGTTCGCAATAGCTCTACCTGAGATTTATTTTGCTGAGGTCAGCCATCGACTGCGCGCTTTGAATAGGTAAGTCGATTTAATAGCTCTTTAGAATAGATGAATTTAATTCGTTTTAATATGTTTGTGAAAACTACTTTGTTACGGAAACAGACCAAAGATGCTTCAGCTTGTTAAGTTTTGTATTTTTGCTGCTGGCAATTTCTTATTTGATTTCTAATTTTCTAATGTAACATAGCTAATTAGATGGTTATTATATTCTCCAATTCTCTATCATTAGGAATTCGTTCCTCTATCTGAGTTTATTCTATCTAATATTGGAGACTCGTTCTAAAAATTCAAATAAAATTTCTTAAGTCTATATTTTTATGAACTACCTACTTGAGCCAATATTCTAAGCAAATATTGCTGCAAAATTCAACCACGTCCGTTGGAGCGTTTCTCATCTGATCGTTTCATTTCAGGCTGGACAGCACTTCGTGGCAACAATGGAGTCCTCAAACAGAAATAATTTGATTCACTCAGATCCGACCGCCAAGATCGACGGCATTATGTTTATTTCAGGTTATGTCATGTCAATCAAAGACGATGGCACGGCTGGTATTTTGTCAGTGCGTGGTGGAGGAGGGAAGTTCGTTCTTTTCCAACTATCGCACTTTTACGTGAACAAAAAGCGTGTTGAAAGTCCCCATAATCTCTTCACTTTTCTGGACAGAAGATCGTACTTGAATTTGTTCATTGAGGACATGGGGGAAGAACGAATGATAGTAACGTTTAAGGTGCGCTACAAATCAGTTCTGTGTTGGGTTGGACCACAGAACATGGTTCCCGACGTTGGTCCTTACAGTGAATTTTGGCGGAGGTGGGGCACGTTATCAAATGAGCTTACGGTTCAATCCCGCTATGATGTATACGTTGATGTTCCCACTGCGTCTATGGTTGAGGTATCTGGACTTGTATATTGGTGCTGTGAGACCTATGGTCTTGTGTCAATCAGATGTGAAAAAGGCAGGGTCAAAAATGTTCTATTCACTGCCGATAATTTCTATATCAATCAAAAGAAGTTCGTCTTGTCTGAAAATTTAGCCTATCCCTGTGCTGATGCAAATGTTATAGCGATCGCCAAGCCAATGCCACCTGTTAAAATATTTGGCGTGCTCGTACAAATGGAAGCTGTCGTTGTCTTTCTTGGTAAAAGACCGGATTTTAAATTGATCTATGGTAAACCTGAGGCTCGCAAGCCAAACGGTGTTCGGCTACCTGAGATTTCCAAAGAAACTAATTTGCTTTCCAAAGTTAAATATATTGAGGAAAATGGTGCAAATAAGTCCAAAGCATCCCTGATTTGGGCTGATGAAGATGATTCCGACGAAGAAAACCTGCGGCAGCAGATTACGTGTGCTAAAGTCCCAGAGAAGAAAAATATCATTGAAACTCCCAACAACGTTGTGCGGGTGGCCAGTTACTTGACTGGCTTCTTTCGTGGCACAAACAAAGGTTATCTTATGTTCGGCAATGGCGACAATGCTTGTAGATTCTCTCCTTCTCAGTTCTTCGTGAATGGCTTACAGTTTTCGACCGCTGAGGAGGTAGTTCGTCACCTTATGTCGGTCAACAAACCAATTTTGCATGGATATGTTGTAGCTCTAGAAAGACCAATGGACGTGGACCCCAATCTAAGGACCTTCTGGGAAGCGGTTTGTGTTTGGCATGGTCCAGCTCCTCAGAGCCTCAAGACAAAAATTAACTCGCTCAAAAAGGTACCTTTGAAGAACATTCGTGACGCCAGCAAGGCCGGTGCTGTGACACGCGAAGTTATGGTGGATCGGAGTGATCTCATAGCGGCTACTCCTCAAACACCGTTCAATGACGCCATGAAAAAAGGACGCCTGGCTGGGTTCGTTCTGAGCTGCAGTGCGTCAGACGCAATACTCACTGGATTTGCCAATTCTGTGTACCTCACACGCGAACGCTTCTACGTACACGGTAAGAAGTATCGTGGCACCTCTCTACTTAAGTTCTTCCTTAAAACGAATGAAAAAGTTAACACGTACATAGTACCTATGCAGATGAAAATCGTGCGAGGATGTGCTGTCTTCAGACGAGCCATCTGTGCCTGGGTTGGTAAAGAACCTGCCGAACTGCAGCAGATGATTCTTAATGATAAAATCTACACCAACTTTGAAGTTTCCGACGCCCACGAGAAACGAAAAGATACATTCTATTACATGGTTGGCCATGTACAAAAAATGGGTGAAACTAGAGGTTTGATCGAGTGCGTCGTGGACGGCAGTACTGTTAATGTCGAATTTTCAGTTCACGAGCTATACAAGTACGGCAAGAAGGTGTCAAGTCGAAGTATTTTGTCGATGCACTCGCAAGTACTGCTCACTTCTCGGTGGAGTGTTCTTGCCCACTGCTCCACAGAACCCATGAAGTACGGCGCAGAATACACTGCTGTGGCTGTCTGGCATCACGACGATCAGCTACTTATTTTTGAAGATCTTCAGAACAAAATTCCTCTTTGGCACAAGAAGTTGGTGGATGGAAAATGCTCATGTTCTAGCCGTGTAGCGAAACTCACTGAGAAAGCATTTTCTAGTGTTAGCAAAGGAGTTATAAATGAGACCAATCAAGATGCCGTTGCAGTGGGCCTTAAAAACCAAGGTCTCGTTTGGGTTCAACGGAATCAAATGATAGTTGACGGCTGTGTCTGCTACTGCAGTAAAATAGACGAGCAACGAATGTGCTATGTAGCATTTGACTCCAACCGGAGTCCTTTGTATTCCTGGATCGGTAAAATTACCATCAGTAACTCTGCTTGCGGCAGCGAGGATGATCTTGCTCACATCGATTGCACGTCAGACGATTCCGATGCGGAACACGACGATAGAGACGACCTCCAAGAAGACAATGATGATTTCGACGAGGAAGATGTCGACGGCATGCGTCACAATTTGGCTGCTATAGAAATGTCTGAGCCATCCGATCCATCTGACCTTTTCACGATTGCCATGAAGACCCAAAGTGGTCACAAAGCCTCAAAAACTAATCAGCGCAAACCTTCAAAAGTGGGCCAACCTGAGCTTGATCGTTTCTCGGGACGTTACGTTCGCGGAAACATCGTTAACATCGAAGACGAGTTGGTTGTTCTTTCTTGGCATTCCGATGACTTCCACGGAACTATCTTCATTCAACTTGATATCAAGCACCTCTACATAAACGGAGAACCTTTCAAGAAAACTTGTTACACAAAATTTAGCGGGGCTAAAGTTTTGATGGAGCATACATGCAATTTATACATCAACACTATCCCTGAAAGTCGATATCACGGATTACTGGAAATTTGCGCCGTTGCCTCTGCGGGGTGGATTGGCACCAAGCCTATTTTTTTGCCACCTCCTGGCAAGCAAGGACCAGGTGTCTACGATGTAAATGCTTTAAGGATTGCATACTCCAATCCACCTCATGTCACCATTGAATTCAACTCCTACCAATCTTGGCTCAAATACCTGGAAACGCAAAGAAACAACGAGAATACGGAACCCGCGCTGAACAGCTCCATTTATACTAAAGTATTTCTCGAAAATGGCTCCCATGTGGCGCAAAATAAGAGCAACCCTTCTCGTTCATCCGTCATCCAAAATGTCAGCAATGAATTAAGACAGGAGAGTGCAAAGTCAGCAGGACGAGTCGGGAACAGCGTAGTACCAGCAGCTTCAGTGACCGTTTCACGCGATAAAGGTGCTGTCAAACCACCTCAAAACATAATGAATAACAACCCTGAGCCACCAGGTCCTTCCGCACCCGAAACAATAATTTACGACTTTCCTATACCAAGGTTTACGGGCTATGGCAGAGATGAGAAGGATGTTCATGAAGAATTGGCGCGCAAACGAGCCGAATACTTCGCTGCTATTTCTAATGATCAGCTGCGCTCATCGCAGCTCCTTGTATTTGACACTCAGCCAGTACCTACTGTCGAAGCTTCAAGCGATGAGCCTGGATTTTGTGGCTCTATAATAGAACTGCACCCAATGATGGGAAGACTCAAAGGCAACGACGACTCTCAACATTTTTTCAAGCCGGGGCAGTTCTTCTTATTTGGCCTTACACTAGACGGCATCGAACTATACAACATTCTTGTTGAGGGTGAGTTATTGTATTACGGTAGTTTTTAAGAATGAATGATGTAATGATTCATTTGAATGGATAACATTGTTATTCACAGGAGTATTTAATGCGTATTTATTACGGATAATACTGAATACATATTAATTACTGATCACTAACCATGTTTCGAGAACATCATCGACAGAAAGAAAATAAATTGTAATATTCGAGGTTCCAATTGCTCTTAGGTACCTATTGTTAAATCGTATGTATGGACTCGTATTGTAGCTGATGTATCTATACTTGATTATTTCTTCCTCGGTTCATATTATTATGTGGGACGCGTTTACACATGAAGCACGCATTTTAACGTAACGTTGTCGTTTCTTCAGCCTCAGCCTCTGCAATGTGTACGTTTGTCTTTCTTATATTTTGCGTCGGTGTTAACACGTGCATCATTCTACGTTTTAAAGTGTGCTTAGAAGGCAAGTGTCATCTAATTTCAAAGTTCATGCACATAGTCTCGCGCTGCACGAGTTGACTTCATCATATGCCGATTGTTTTCATAGCGTGCGCGGGCACATGTTCTGTTTATCGAAAACTTATCTAGATTTTTTTGTTCTAGACGAATTCATTTGCGTGAATAATTCTAGATTTAATACATTCAATAACCCGAATAGGACGTTGTGTGTGGATGGCACAATTTTTTTTTGTTTATTATGAATTCAATAAATATTACTTGAATGCAGAAGTGTAAGACCCAGTAGCCCGCTTAATTGCGTGCATTAGAATTGCAAAAAATAACCCGTACAATATCATCGCAAACAATGCCACGTGCGCTATCATAACAGTAAACAGTTATGATAACATGTTAACATCATAACAGTTTTGCTCTGTCAAAGCAGTAAACTTCGCAAAAAACTGTTCACTATCATTGCTGACTATCATCCATGTACTATGATTACAAATCATCATCCATGCACTACAATTGCAGACTAACATCCATGTACTATCATTACAAATCATCATCCATGCACTACAATTGCAATACATCTTCTATGTACTATCATTACAAATCATCATCCATGCACTACAATTGCAGACTAACATCCATGTACTATCATTACAAATCATCGTCCATGCACTATGATTGCCAAGCATCCCCTGCCCACAGGTATGGAGGTGCGGTACGACACGGACGAGGAAGGCCAGCTGCTGACGTGCTGGTACGGCAGCCGTCACCCGCGACCTGCGACGCCTGCGCTACTCAGCGCCTGGTGCCGCGACAACTTCGTGTCGTCTGAGACCCACGACGTCATGGTGGGTCATCTTAATGGGGTGTCGTGGGGGTAGGTGGGGAGCTGTGCTGCTGGGGGTGTGGGAGAGCTGAGATGCTGAGAGGGTTGGGGGGCTGTGGTGTTACTGGGGGTGTGGGAGCTTTAGTGCTGGCTTTGCTGGGAAGTGTGGTAGCTGTGGTGTTACTGGGGGATGGGAGGAGCTGTGGTGCTGCTGGGGAGGAGGGCTGCGGCGCTGGGAGGAAGGGGAGAAGAGCTGGGATGCTGCTTGGGGAATGGGTTGGAGCTGGGGGTGTGAGAGCTGTGGTGCTGCTGGGAGTTGCGTGGTTGTGGTGCTGGAGGCAGTGTGATGGACGCGTAACGATGATGCATGGCAATGCGTGGTGACTGTGATGTCTGGAACTACGGCGCTGAGGCGAGTGAAGGCCTCGCAACTGTTGTGCTTGAAGGACTTCGAGTTGACGGAAAACTTCCCTGTGACAGAGTTCAATCGTCGATATGATGCAGGATTTCATTCTTCACTTCTTGATGAAGCACTGTGTCCTAGTTTACTATTTAGACGAGAAGCATTGATGCACTTTCTTGAAATTTCTTTTTTAAAATCAATCATTCAATGAATGAGCGATAGATTCCGCCATAAAGGTGTCTCTCCTCAACGTTTCGGGATATTTGTTTAGCTTTGAGGGATAGGGTTAGCGCCGTGTGTTAAGTTTTCAATTTTTTTGGAGCAGATGAAATATTTTATTTACTTGTGCAGGTGGCGCGTGCAAACGAGAGACCCAATGCGTGAGCTAGAGCTGGCAATCACAAGAAACTTCCAAAAATGGATGTTCGTTTCATAAATTCTTCAATGGAATCATCAAGTTCAAATTACCGGAGCCTTGCCCTTGGCTCCTTCTTCATCTAAATTATGTTGGGTGTTCATGGGAACGTTGTTCGATTGTTACCTTCATTATTTTCTGTGCGCATTTGCCTGGGTTTTGATAGATTGGTTTGATCTTAAATAGTTTTGATGAATTTTTTTACCCAGGGTTGCTTAGCATTTCATTATTCCTAAATATAACCTAGTGACGAAAATCTGTTTCAGCGCATAACATTTTCTGCAATTACTTGGCTCATAATTATCTCACTGCAAGCCTAAATTGTGACCTTTAACAACAGGGATTTTCCTGATTGCTTTGGAATTTACTTACCATTGATTTGTTAGCTTCATTCATGCCATAATGTTAAACATAAACCTATTGCTTCAAGTTAGAATTAATGTATCAAATGTCATGGCAATGTCCTGCTATCTTGTTGACACCTTGCTAACTTAATGAAAGAATGTTCAAAACTTCATTCAAGTTACGACGAATGTACGGCGTCCAATATATGGCTAACTAGGTGCAACACAATCCCATGCTCACAGTTCGTTTTATTTTACAAGCAACAATGTGTTCCTATAGTGTAAAATGACTTTCTGGCTTGAAACTGATTTTGAATAAGACCAAGCCGCTTAACATATTGCATCTCATAACTATTTGCTACAAATCAATCTGCTTATCATCGTTCTCATGGCAAGCAGAGTAAAATCTCGATCACATACCAGAAAATGGCCGAAACCTGCATTCAGGTTCTAGTTTATATGTGTGGTATTTTATAGCCTTCATGCGGAACCAAATATTTTTTAATGACCGGATCTGTTTTTCATCTTTATAGCATATCTATTTGCATGTGGCGGAGTCATCTTATCACCTTTTATTATACATAGATTAAGAATATATTCTTAAGTTATAGAAAAGTATTGACATCAATTTGAATTTCTCTTTATTCTGATGAGATATAAGTCCAAATTTATTTTGTATCCGGCCGGGTAGTTCTTATGCACTCCGATCAAACTTATCCCGTGCTGTGTATGGGAATTAATCAAAAGAAAAATGCCGTGATGAAAAGTTTTTTATCATTTTGTATACATCCCATGATCTATGCTTGAGTTCAAGAGTGGATGGGAGTTTGAATTAGCTAGCTTTTTTTGGTTAGTAAACTATTCACTAGTACCCATTGTGCCTTAGTATCTATGATGTATATTTAAAAACCCCGTTTAAATTTTATATAACTTCTTCATTTAAGCATGACTGGTTCAGGTTTCGTACATAATTACTTTTTTTTTTGTCTATGATTGGTGAATGATGAGCAAAAGCTCACCAGCCAGGATTTAATAGTTCGATCAGAGCGAGGGAACAAAGAACAACCTGTGATGAAGTGGACTGTGATGTTATCTCTTCAGTACACGTGTTACTTAATCACATCGCACTACTTACAAGCAAATATACTCTTATAATCTGTGTTTGCTAGTTTTACCTTGCTGAGCTTCTATGTTGTATCATAATAGGTAGCTACTATTGATGGGAACAATAATCTCGCTCTGTGTAGTTAATGCTAATGGGTGTCCAAAAGAATAAATTCTTTTAGGAATATCCATTTCTACTTTTCACGCATTTCATTCGTAATATTAACTAAGAACTATCAAGCCTCTAGTAGTGTTATATATAGGAATAATTGAGACCTTCCACCTCTATGGTGATGTTCATCTTGACTTTCGGTGCGAGATAGCTAAATAGCTGAAGCGCTAGTAAACATTTGGCCACTAAACTAACTAACTAACTTATATATAGTTTTAATAATCTCCTATCAGACTGTCAACATGGCTTTATTGTCGGGAGATCCTGCATCACTAACCTCTTGTCTACTCTGAAAGAATGGACCCGCCTGCTGGACGAAATGGAGCCAGTAGATGCAGTGTACCTCGATTTTGCCGAGGCATTTGACAGTGTCCCGCATGAGCGGCTGTTGCTTAAATTGAAGTCTTTGGGAATTAGGAATAATGTATTCAAATGGATCAGAGATTTTCTAGTAGGGAGACGACAACGTGTCAGTATTGATGTGTCAGTATCAGACTGGGCTTCAGTGCGCAGCGGCGTGCCACAAGGAAGCGTCCTCGGGCCTGTTAAAAAACTGCGTTGTAACACATAAAACATTTCTTCTCGCTTCGAGTCACCGACATGTGGAACAGCCTCCCTGATAGCATCGTTGACGCTCCGAGTATGAACGCCTTCAAGAACAGACTAAGCCGAAGCTATGCAGGAGCTATGTTCAGTCTTGAAATGTCTAGCACCTTACGGACCAGGCAATAAGTCCCGCAGCTATCTCAATCAATCGTCAGTTATGGAAAGATCGGGTTCAAAAGCCCAGATCCCTTGTGAATCAAGTCATGAAAAGTTAACGAATCGGCAACAGGCCCGTGGACATATTTCTTCAGTGCTGACACCTATATTCTATTCTAATAGTGCTCAATGAAACTGGCGGTTTCATTGAGCGACAATGAGACTGGCTTCTGCCGCCTAACACCCACCTTACCATCAACGCTTAGTCGAGGCACCATCACGAGACTGAGATCAATCCTAGCCATTCGGTTGAATTCTAATAACGTTTAATCTTTGAGCGGATCGCATGGCTCTGCGTTTTTTAATAATTCTATAAAAGCTTAATATTTCCTGCCAATTCAATGATCGTTTTTTATGTTTTTTTTCTACGCGAATTTATACTTTTTGGAACATCGAAGGCACTTCACGGTTAAAGTATTTAAATTCTAACCTTTGTCGCATACGCTTAGACTGTGAATGTTTGTTTCAGACACGAAGACCCCTCACTTCATCTGTGTTGCGATAAAATTAATTTGAAAACAGAACATCCCTCTGCCTATTATTCAGTAGAGCTTCTTGTTCCCATTTTCCTTTGTTTACAACTCAAATACTATTCTCTCTAATTATCAGGGTCATGTGCTATTTGACTCGTAATCCAAAACTTCTCGATGCGCATAAGTATTGAACTATGTAGTCACTGTGATACTACCTATGGGCTATGTGTTTATATTCCGCTTCTTATCAATGCTGGAGGGGATGCTGCATCGCCCGTAGAATGCTTTCAGTATGTGCTTGTTACTCATCATCCGCCACATGGCATTCTAAATTCTGAGACGGGTAATCCATTGGATCATTTGACCAGTTCCGTCCGGCCAAAGCTCTCATCGAACGACTTTTTTAAAGAAGGAAATGAAATTGAGAGAAACATGATGAAGACTTCAACTAAATAACTATTGCTGAGTCCAGGTGTTACAAGCGGTCAACGTGCGACTTCTTCTTCACCTACAACCCGCGACCACCACCTATAATGATTATGTGTACCAAGTTTCATCGAGCTACGTACAGTATTTTGGGAGATATTCTATGCGCACTGAATTTGGAGTCCGTCCTCGGGTCCGGCCGTAAATTTGTCCGAGACGTTCGCTAAACTCTAAAGTCTAAACTGTGCTTAGCAGGACAGATTCTCTATTTATCAACTCATTAATTAATTACGGTTGAATTAATTATTCAACCGTGTATCAACTATCTTCTGCGTAGATGCGAATCAAGTACGTAGTGATATATCACTTTGATAATAACAAAAGAATCGTGTTATTGTCTGGCAGTTATAGAAGTAAATGTTAATGCCACTGGCATGTGCAATTTCAAAAGTTTCATCATATACATGAACTTAGAATTAATGGTCTATTATCAGGTAACGATACTAGCCAAAAAGTGTATTAATCAATAATAACTATAGGTAAATAAGATGGAGGTTGATATGCTGGTAACATGCTGCATCATCATATTTTCATACATATATTAATGTATATGAATATTTAATTGTCAAATTTTCGCTGAGGTATCATCATTTCAATATAATTCTAATAAAAGTTTAAAAATTCCCGTTCGAAAAGTGTGCTCAGTGTGCTCACTGCTCATGGTTTAACTTGAACCATGCGTGTGCCCAAGTTCCGGCGCTGCAGGTGACTGAGGTGAGAGAATTGCAGCAAACGGAGGTATCTTTTGTTGGAGGTAGATTCTGGAATCTGGATTTTGTTGTGGAAAGCACTGGCGATTATCTGAATTAGGAGGCCGGTTCGAGCTTCGGTCGACTACGGACGTGTGTATAGGATAGAGTGAGTACCTTTTTGAGTCGGTGAACAAGTAGAAAAGTCTTAATTTTGAGACGGGCACCTATTTGGAGTAGGTACCTTGTTTGTACCAAAAACCAGCAGAATGCCCAAGCCCAAAGCTAAACGTAAGAAAAAAGAACAAGGAGATGGAGCATCAATATCATCTGACTGCTCAGAAACCTATTCTGCTTCTGGTGTCACTCCGTGTCAGCATTACTAATCCCTCTGCATTCTGCAATACCCACCTGGATCATGGTGCCAATCCATAGGTTATTCAAAAGCATCTGTTCTTATGTCATTTTGAACCGATCAACACTTCTTTATGGACCAATCGTAAAACACACCTTCACCGGCAAAAGCTTTCACATTCTGAAGAAGGTGAGCTGACACTGACAGCTGCCGTGGGGCGTGGGTGGACCTAATTTGAATTTGAATGCATGCATCGATTCAAAATCCTATAGACTGTAATAGACATAGTATACAAGTCATAGAGCCTAAATTTTTAATATCTATAAAAAATGTACGTTTCTGCATGTATTATAATGCTGTTAACATTAGCAAACTTTTAATTATCTCTGATGCAAGAAATACTTGCTTAAATCATTTTATTTTCAATATAAGCGACTGGATGCAACAATCGGTTC